GAAGTATCACATCAGCAAATAATGATAATTTAACTTCTTCCTTTCCTATCCTCTTTCCTTTTCTTTTTCTTATTTAATTGCTCTGGCTATGTTTCCATAACTACACAGAATAGGAGTAGTAATAGTGGACAATCTGATCTTGTTCCTGATTTTATTTATTTGGTATCAGGAACTGAACTCACAACCTTGTGCAGGCCAGACAAGCACTTATGCCCAGAGCTATACCCCCTGCCCTTATTCCTGATTTTAGAGTGAAAAATTTTAGGTCTTGACCATTTAATATGATGTTGCTTGCCTGCTGATTTGTCATAGATAGCTTTTGTCAGATTGTGATAAAGAGCCCATCTATTCCAATTTTCTGTAGAGTTTTTTGTGAATGTGTATTAGGCTTTGTAAAATGTTTTTTCTACTTCTGTTGAGATGTTGATCCCAACTGTTGAACACAGAGTAAGTCATCTAGAACTTGGATCACAAGGGCTAGAGCCCATCTGCGATCCTATCATGATCCTCTAATAGACTTCTCTAGTATTTACTGCCTCACATTAATAAAGAGGTGGAGGGCTCTGAGGATAGCATCATCAATAACTTCCTTTTCCTTGGGGGCCACTCTAGTGACAAACAGGTTGTTGGGTGATAAAAGTCATAAAAGCCCAAATATAGGAGGCTTCACTTTTCATGCTTTTTACAGAAATTATCTATCTGCAAAGTAGCATCATAATTTAAACTGTCATCCTTTACCCAGCTTTCACCATTCCCTGGTTGCAGCTTCTATTGAACCCAAACTGTACTGCAACAGTAGCTAAGTTATTCCTTTTTCGGATTGGCAGTGTCAAATTTTTCCCACTGTCAAAAGATATGACCTAGTGGCAAGGTTTCTGGGCTCTGCAGGGTGTTGCTCAGGATGTTTTCCATGGCTGTCTTGAGGCTTATGGAGAGACAGAACTAGGTCTGGGGTCCTTCAGAGGGTATCTCCTGTAGAAGGGGGCAGACTGAGTTCACAAAACATCCCTGTGATACTTAATACTTCCTAAGCAGATGTCTCTGCTTGAAGTTCTCACGGTGGCACTAAGCCTTAGAACTCTCCATGCCATGGCCCCCTAACTCCTTAGGGGGAAGATGGGGATCTTGAGAAACAGTAGATCAGGGTGGAGCCAGGTCACTAGTTATCTAGGAAGCAATCCCCTCACTCATCCCCTCCAAAGCTTTAATTTAAGGCAGTAGAGGTAGGTATATATACATTTTTAATTTTTATTTGGAACTGGGAATCAAACTCAGGACCTTGTACTTGCTAGGCAGGCGCTTTGCTGCTGAACTATGTCCCTTGCTAAAGAAATAACCTGAATTTTGAAAGGGAGCGATCTAACCCAAGTCCCCCGTTCTCTAAAAATAGACTTTGGCTGTTTGTTGTCTGTAATGGTGAGAAACTGAAAGCCCACACAATTTACTCAGCAGGTTTCATGCCCTCAGCTCACAATTTATGTTCATTCACAAGACCACACACACACACTGGTAGTACATGCATGACTGTCCTATCGGATGGCTTGTACCACTGATGGTACAAATGGATCTAATCACTTTTATTGGTCTTTTTACTAATAAGAGTCTATTAATACTATTAAAAATTGGGGGACTTCCAGGAAGATGGCAGAGCAGTAAGCAGCAGCAGGTCAGCCTTTCCAAGATTCTGACTCTGGACACTGGAATATAACTCCTTGGAGAAGAAAGCAAAGGTGGACCCTGGAAACCAGGAGGGATGTGAGAACTGGAATGCACAGGCAAAGTGAAGACAGACCTCAGTGCAGAAAAAGGAGGGCAACCTGCACTTTCTCCCGGACTCCTGATGCACAGTATGAGACGAGAGGCTTGACTCTACAGACCCAGTGCAGATGGGTGACCCAGGAGGCCTCCCTGGACAAAGGCACCAGTGGACACAGCACTGTGACAGCTGGTAAGTGATTCCAGCCCAAGCACCCACTGGAGAGTGTGTTTGGCCAGACACACCCAGGACTCGAGCAGCCTTGCACTGGCTTCCTTTTAGAACCCTGTGACTGGGTGAGGCACAACCACAGGAGACATCCAGGGCCAGGGAGCCGAGCTCAGTGGGAGCTACCCAGTGTTACTGGCTGAACGGTTCAGGCCCCTGCCCTACAACAGAGGCCGGGATCAGCCTGAACCTCCGCAGAGCTGGAAGCCCCAGAATCAGCACTCTGCTGTATGTATTCCCACTGCAAGTTTGCTGGATGGATCAAGACTGTCTCCTTGGCCTGCCAGTGACAGTACAGAAATGCCCTAAATTGGGTATTACCCACAAACAATAGACCCCAAAATACAACCACAGCCTTGACATTACTCAAAAAACAAAACCAAAAAAAATTTATTTCATGTGTGAAGTTTTTACTTTTTTATGTAGCTCTTTTTCCTTTCTTCCCCTTCTGTCTTATCAGTGTCCCAAAACTTACATAATCTTTTGTCCTTCAGGCTTGCTTCTAATCTTTATTTCTTTTATCCTCTTGTCCCGTTACAATTTTTTCCTCTGTGCATCAAATTGCTCTAGTCAGGATATTTAATGCACATAATTTTGTGATTTTAGATTTTTCTGTACTATAGCTGTAAATCCTATACCTGTGGTTCAAAGGTGCAAATTAACAGAACAGTTTGTCATTTTCTAGACTATGTTTGACATTATTCAGATTCTCATCCCTTATAAATTGAACAGGCAGGTTCTTGGGACAGACTCAAAAGCCAAAAGCCAGCTACACCTAGAAGACATCTCTGAAAAGCAGTCATTTTAGGGCTAGGCATAATGGTCCTGTAATCCCAGCACATGTGAGACTAAGACAGGAGGATCACTGTGAGCTTGCAGCCCATATGGATTACACAGTGAGTTCAAGGTCAGCCTGAATGACCCAGCAAGACCTTGTCTCAAAAATCGAACAAACAAACAAAAAGTTGCCATTTCCTAAGGAGGTCTTGATACTAATAATAAAGCTATCTACCATAAGCAATTTACAAGCATCAATGCAAAAAACAAATTGTGAGCTAAAAAAAATAAAGGTGCTTATGAAAGTGATGGAAACCATGAAAGCCCAACTGGATTCCATAAAACAGATTAAAACATATATCCAGATTAAAGCAGCAGAATCAATGACTTTGCGGACAATATCAAATCTGGAAGACAGGTTTGAGCTTAGTGATCATCAAATAAAACACTTCTTAAAAATAGCAAGGGATCATGAAAAACCAACCCAACAGCTGCCAGATGAAGCAAAAACTAACACAAGGTTGATAGGAATCAGTAAAGAAGTAGAAGACAAGAGTAGATACATTAAAAAACAAAACAAAAAAACCCTATTCACAGAAGTAATGGCAGAAAACTTGCCAAGCATGGAAGAATCAGACATACATATAAGTGAGGCATAGAGAACTCCAATTAGCCATGATCAGGAAGAAACAAAAAACACAAAGGCGTATTCCAGATTCCAGAACGTCAGCCAGAGAACTAAGTATTAAAACCTTTTTTACAACAGGTTTGCTGCAAGAGCACGTGTAGTGAAAAACACCACTAAATCAAAGCCAACGTGGGAAAGGAAGACATTAACATTGTCATTGAAAGGGGGGATTCTGGCTTCCACCTTACATGAGGAATCTAGAGTGTTTTTTGCTAAGTGAAGCAGAAATGTCTCTATACAAAATTAGAAATAAGCTCCTTATTTTAAACCAGGTTTTGTTGGAGAATAGCACTAGAAGCAAATAGAGCTTTATGAATTCTTCAGATTACTTAGGAACCTTGCACACTGTTGAAGAGTTGGGATTTTCCCTTGTAGCTGCTTGGCTTTTGTAGTTGTCTTTTTGAGATGTGTGGTTTGAAGGAATTTGAGTTTGATCCAAATCAAATCGGCCTTTTTAATGGACATCAATAGGCCTGAGTTGGACAAACAACTAGCATTTGTAAGGAATTGAATCTGTTACTTGTGGACTCATGCAGAACCTGGACAGATGCCTGGCCTTTCCTTGGTCTCAAGTGTCCACTGCTGGAAGTTCTGCACTCCCCGCACTCACCACAGAGGCAGGAAAAATGAAAGGAACTGTGGGTCAGTAATTGTGTGGCAAGTGTCCTAAAGTTGCTAACATGACTAGCGGCTACACTTGGTTTGTCTAGCCTTCAATCCTAGGGAGACAAAACCCCAGGCAGTTCATTTCTGCGACCTGAAGGACTTGAATATTAACAAGTGGCATTCCCTCACTGTTACCTTTAGTGGGATACAGCTATGCTCCTGCAGGAGTCTGCATCCTCTGGGTGTATTTTTCAAGCAGGAGGGGCAGTGTTGTAACCGAGGGAAAAGGCTACAGGGAAATTTATGTTCCTTAAGATGTAGAAACCATTTTCTGTACAAGGAATCACTCGGGACCTTGTGCTTCCCAGGCAGGCCCTGAGCTATATCCTGACCCCAAGAAATTCAGTGATTGGATAAATTATCAAACTGCTAAACAGTGTGACAAACACATTTGCACCGCATTGCTCCAGCAATGCTGTCTTCTGGGAAGGTTGATAAAATTGCTAAGGTAAGTGGGCTGCAGTGGCCAAAATGGTTAAGCACTGTCTTAAAGACCCTTTTGTATCTCCTAACTCCCAAGTCTACTCTGAGTACATACTAGGTTTCAGGCACTGGACCATGGCACATCTTCACCAGGTAACGGAAAGCTGACTTACTTTTCATGATCTTCAACCCAAAAACTGGGTCTCCTAGAAATGAAACTGACAACTGCACTTGAACCCTGCTGGAGGGCCTTCAACTCCTCGGTCTACACAGTAGCCCAAGTTCAGGGCCTCAAGCTAAGTCTGCATCTTACAATTTAAGGGGGCTCCCCCAGACCCTATGAACCATACCATGTGTTGGAGACCACAGCAGAGCGGACTAGGTAAGTTTCTCCAGAAGTGGATGTCTTAGATGTGGATAGCTCTTCCCAACACATCAGAGCAAGACTCCCCACCACAGTGAGAACTTTCCACCTTTTAATTTTTTTAGATCTTGTTGCCTCAGCCTCCCAGAGTTCTGCGATTACAGACTGGTGGCAACACTCGGCACTTGTAAGAGATAAACAGCTGTTAGACATGATCTGAACAATATATCAGACAAAGTAAAGGACACACATTTAAAACTGTCTCACCACCATTAAAAGAACAAGCTGGGTGTGGTGGCACACATCTATAATCTCAGCACTCTGGGAGTCCAAGGCCGGAGGATCACAAGTTTGAATCCAGCCTGGGCCACTTAGTGAGACTCTGTATCAAAAATAGAAAAGAGGCCTGGGGACATAGCTCAGTGCAAACAGCCAGGGTTTAGTCCCCAGTACCTCATTCGCAGAGTAAGTACATTTAGCTCCAGCTACAGATGGGGTCTTCCATAGCTGTGCCTAACAAATACCAGACTAAACAAAAAAATGAGCTTAAACATATGCTTTAAAAGCTCATCTCAAGCCAGCGATTTGCAGAAGCCACGTATCTTCAATGTCTTCACATAATCGTATCTGAGGCACTCAAACGGCAAGTCTACTCAAATATGCTTCCCAAGCGGCTTTTCTGTATATCTCTGCTGCTTCCAGGCGATTAGGTGCAGAAAGTATGCCTCGCCCCACAATGATGATGTCAGAACCTCGTCTGCCAATGACTTCTTGGGGACTGTTGTATTGTTGGCCAAGATGATCTCCTGCAGAAAAGCAAGTCATTTAAAACACAAAACCCAAGCTTCCTGGAACACAACTCCTTTATAATATCTAACCAGCTTTCAATAAAAATATGCGCCTGCTTTTTTTCCTTTTGCACAGCAAGAGGGCAACGCAGGAGGTGATAAGACTCCCTGGGTCAGCCAGAGCCTCCACGGTAAAGATGCCAAGCCACTCCTTCCCAGTTTCGGTAAATACAGAGCATTTAGAGTTCAACAGTAGCAAAAAGCAGATAAATGTCCTATGTGGCCAAGAAAGGTTCAATAACAAAAAAATACAGTAATATTGGCCTCACTTTTGAAGGAAATGCTACTATTCCTCTTCATCACTGTGCTATCTAATTGGGAGAGGCCCCCAAAGGCATCCAACCTGACCACCTCCACCCAGGTGACCCCTTTTGGGTCCCTCTACCCCTAAAGGCAAATGCTTGTAGACCCTGGACAAACACTAAGCCTTGAACGGTGGGTGCTTCTTTACTAAATCCTGCTGTGGTAGAAACATTCTGATAGATAGCTTACGACGTTTTACACAACCCTCAAATGCAAGGTCTTAACTGGACTAGCTACTCTGACTGTGGGCCTGTAAGTAACACTGCCAGCTAGAAGCACTCACCCAGTGCCAAGACTGAGTTACTCTAGATGCTTCATAATCTGGACATCTCCACATCCTAACACCTACCAATACCTACCAGGACCATCCTGTACCTACGAACCTGTTCTCTCTTTACAGATTGGGGAAATAAGGGTAAAGGCAGTTTGTCTGAAGACACATGCTTACCAAAGCGTAGGTCCAGAAACCCAAATCCATCTGACTCAAAACACTTAGCACAAGCACGAAGTTTAACAAAGCAACAAGGGTTGGGGATGTAGCCCAGTGGCAGAGCTTGCCTGGCATAAGCAAGACCCTAGAATTGAGACCCAGTACCATAAGTAAGAAAAAAAAAAAAAAAAAAACCAAGCTGTCGAGTATTATGATCTTGGGCAGGCAGATCATGCTGCTCAGGTCTATTCTGAAATGCGTGAAATCTGAGATGGGAAAAGCACAGGAAATCCAGTTTTCTTTCAATCTATTTGAATTCTTATTAGCCTGTTTTCTTCATTACTGTTCTGCAATATTTAAAGTACTTAAAAACATAGGGCAGTTCCTTTTTCATAAGTGTGGTTATATTACCTACAGAAACAGGTGTTTCCTACATAAGGAATACCAACTAGTTCTAGTAGTTAGTTTCCAATTTTCCCACTCTCCAGCACTAACCCTTGATCTGGCCCTCTGAAACAGTGTCCACGCCTTCAATATCTGTAAAGACAGAGGCGCTACAGAGAAAGCGCTCATCTTCAAGTAGCTGCTGTCTAGTAGAGTATGCCAGGAAAATCCACACACACAAAAACACCTACAAGGATGGTTCCCTGTTTGCAAACAACTGCACATGCATAAGAAGAGGTTTAAACATATTATGGCCTAATCGCTCATGGCGGTGGAAGGAACACAGTGACTCTCGATGTGCAAATGTTAAGCGTGCTGCTTATGCACAAATCACTCCGCAAGCATGGCTGCGCATTATACCAGTTATGTGGTTTCTAGTCCAGGCGGCTAGACTGGAGATGGTGCCACAGAGAGGCAGGGATGACTTTAATCTAGCCTTCTCCTTTCCCTTAATACTTTTAAAGCTATCATTTGATAGCTTTAAAGTCATGAGTTTGATCCCTGGTACCAATAAAAAGGAAAAAGACAAAAAAAAAAAAAAAAAGAAGAATAACGTCACTTCAAGGTAAGCCTCTTCTCAGCCAAGACCACTGCCGCCCTGAGTCATAACATAATCCCCGCCTCAATCAATGCTGAGGTTCCTCCTGCCACGTAAACCACTGGTCATACCAGACCCCTGCTGCTTGCTAGTTCTCTCTCCCCATGCACTGAAACTCTTGGCAGGAGACTGGAGGTTCACTACAGGGCTCCCCGATAGGGAGTTATGTTTTCTGTATATCATTAAGACCTCTGAATAGACTTACCTCCTGCTTCTAGTTGAACTCCTGGTGTCAAGTGAAGAAATTCTGGTTTCATGCTTACTCGGGACCCAGAAATAAAACCAATCACAAATTCACAATGGTGCTCAGCCATTCTAACCTAAATGGAATATAACAGGCCATATTACAAGAAAACAGTTAATCATGTGGAATAATTCTATGAAAGTAAAAAAATTTGCTCTATTCATTTAAAGCTTGTTATTGGAAATGGGTCACCTTTAGGATGATGAAAAATGTTTGCTGCATGGAGAGCCTAACATGACCCTTTCCCCAAGGAACCATACATGAAAAATTCTTACACTATATGCATTAAAATCAAGACGCTGCACACCACCTTGTAATAATAGTCAGTGACGCACCTACTTCCAAAGACACGAGTTGTGTAAAGGAGCTTTCAAGAGGCAAATGGGAACCTCGCACGCCCACCCTGTTCTTTCCTCTTCAGCATTTGTTACTGCCCGTCTCTCCATTTCTGCACTATCACCTCACAGGCTCAGCAGTAGTGCCCTGGGACTGCACTGTTCTCTCCTGCACAGCTTCAGCAGGCCAGACCCACGCTCCAGCACACTGGGGGACTCACAGTGATGCCAGGTCCCTCCGCTGTTTTATTTATGGCCTATTCAGCTGGGGTTGGAACCTGATCCTAGGACCATTTAAATACTTAACAACTCCATGTACAGTCTTTGCAATACTATGGAAAAATAAAAATTTCCATGGAAATGTTTTAAAGTGATCACTATGATTCCCTAAAATACCTGTAAAGGTGGCTTATCCTCAGCTCTATCCAAGTACAAAACTCACTTGAAAATGTGAAGAGGGACTTTTAACTAGGTAATCGTCCATCTCTTTTTCTATTTTGGTGTGCAGGGGTTGGGATGGGATGGGTTGGATGGTGTCCCAGGTCTTTAAAGAGATGCAAATTATTACTAAGATTCCATCTCACTCCAGACAGAATGGCAATCAGAAAGAAATAAAAAAATAACAAATGTTGTGGCTGGGATGAAAAAGGAATATTGGCAAGAATATAATCTAGTACAACTATTATGGAAATCAGTATGGAATTTCTTAAAACATTAAAACTGGAAATTCCATAAGACCCAGCTATTCCGCTTCTAGGTATCTCTCCCAAAGACATCATACCATAGTGACACATGCATACCAGTGTTTATAACAGCTAAAGCCTGAAAACAGCCTGTATACTGATCAATAGGAGACTAGATAAAGACAATGCAGTATCTCTAGACCACTTGGCTATAAAGGATACATTTGAGACACTTTTATGGATGCAGCCGGGAAATGTTGAGTGAAAGCACGCACACACCCTGGAATACCATAAAGCATCTCTCATTTGGGCAAGGCAACATACAAACAAGTGAGAAATAAAGAAGGTACAGGAAGAGACGAGGGAATGGCTCGCTAGTAGATGGAAAGCGGTCCGGGGGACTAGGGGGAGCGGATGGGGAAACAGGTAGAGCAGATACGCCAGCTCAGGATCCTTTAACCCCAATGAGCGCGGATGTTACAAGCTTTAAGTAGGAACTAAAAATATCAACCAGAAAGACACAGGGAAAGGAAGATCAGGGAGGGAAGCAGGAAGGGATTAAAAGAAAAGAAACAAGCTCTGTTGATATACAGGTACCAACTCCCCAAAATTATAAAATGCATATATTGTAAACACGTATTTTAAAAAAAGAACCTCTAATACTTGAAGAAACCACACAGCCAGACTCCTTAGCTTCTCCCACACAATACTGATCAATACCGAAGACAGAATAAGGGATGCAGAACGCACAAGCTGGAGGTCTGTGAAGCTTCTCATTTTCACTTTCACCTCAGAGTGAGATGAAAAAGACATCTCAAAAGCAGCTAAAAGTCGCATCTTACTGTCTTCTGTTTCTGAGTGAACTCAAATCACGTAAGTGTCCACTACAGGATACAGAAAGCTGTTAACTATCAAATACGCCTGTTTAGTCAGCATTTACATGCTGTCACCAAACAGCAGATGAATTTGAGAAGTGGACGTGGCAGAGGCTGCAGATTCCAGAGAGAGAGGTTTTCTTGCCCTTTGGCATTTGGTATGACAGGTCTGGCCACCCTGTACCCCAGTCCTGAGACTTACCGCAGCATTCGTGTAGTCCCCAGTGGCCAGGGAGCCAGCAGAGCTCATTTCTGCAATGAGCAGGCAGCCCCGGTGCAGAGGCAAGCCCACCTCCTGCAGGCCCTTCACCACTCCTGAGCCCGGAACCACGTGGGCATTTACGATATCTGCCCAGGATGCTATTTTAAAGACACCACCTAAGAAAGACAGAACAAGTATTTGTTGATTCTCAAACAAAGCCCTCCATCCTTTTGCCCAATCACAACCTACAAAAGCAATAACCCTCTACTAACATGTCAATTAAGGAGTGTAACACTTCAAAAGCTTTCATGGCATCAGTGAGCCTGCAGTTCATCTGTAGAATTTATCTGTCCACCTAGTAGCTCAGTGAGAAATCACAGAAAAAAATGCTTCAGATTCTATACTTGAGGATCATCAACACTAAAGGCACTGATTTATTCTGCAGCTAGAGCCTTGAAACCATTAAGTAGGGTCATGCCATTTGGAAACGGACTCCTGTGAAGATGGCATCTAGTGAGGGCAAGGACAGCGACGGCCTGACACTCCTCTCGAAGATGAGCGACTTTGACTCTCCAGGGCTCTCTCAGCATCTTTACTCTCTTGATGTTTCTATGTTTCCTTAGTTATTCTAATTCTAGTAGGCAAGTACATACATAATGTTACCTATTTTAAGTATTTGTTTTGTTTTTGAGATGGGGTCTACATAGTGCAGGCTAGCGCTTATGTAGCCCAACATAGCCTTGAAATCACAGTGATCCTCCTGCCTCTGCCTCCTGAAGTGCTGGATCACAGGCATGTGCCATTACGTCCACCCTGTATATATAATTTTAAAAGTCAACAGTAAAAATCTGAACTACACATAAACCTGAAGGAAGATTGTGCAACTCTTACTTCAGTCAATGAACTCAGCTGAGCCATGTGACAGGGGTGACACACATTCCAGCAATGAAGACAGTCACTGATGGACAATTACACTCTAGAGACACTCTGGGAACTGTACGTGCAGTCCTTTAAGGAAAATTAAGCTGCCCAAAGATGCTTACAACAGGATTAAATAATATGACTAAAAACACTTGTCACTGGGTTAACTGAAAAAAGCATTAAATATGCACAGTATCATGACGGCAGAAATTTTTAAGAATGGGTAGCAGAACCAAATATTTTCCCCAACCAACACATCTATTATTTTTGAGACCCCAAAACAACTTAAAAACAATTATAAAACTACTTTTTAAAAAAGGAAGTGTAACAATAGGTCTTTTTTGTGTTGCAAATATATTTTATGCTATTTTTTCACTGTTTTCCTAATTTTCTGCCAGGAACAACATACGTCATTTCTACTCAAAACGTAGGCACCCTTCTGGCATCAGGACACTCACTTTCTCAGGCAGAATTACCACTGCAGCATCTTCATTCAAAACACTTAAATACAGTTAATGTAGCCACCTTGCATTTGTGAAAGCACGCCTATGATCCAGACCAGCAAGTAAAGGTTTTCTAGAGCTAAGCCACAGAGACTGGTTAGGAAATGTGCCGACCTGAGAAAGAAGTCAACAAAGAAGAAGGCGGGGCTGAGAGAGGGACAGAAAGCCATTTCAGAAGACATCACTTGAGCGCTTGGATCCAGAGACACTTGACGCCCTGCTCTATGGCTAGACTTCCAGTTATGGGAACCAACATGATTCTTTTCCTCCTCCAGCCAGTGTAAACTGGATTTCTGCAGATTCCCACACAATGCATTTACTTACCCTCATACTGCTTTTTTACTGTGCTTCCTATATCTGCAAATTTTCGGTCTTCAAATATTAAGAACTCATGCTGTCTCGCCAGGGCGGTCAGCTCCTTCATCACATCCAGAGTGAAGTCATCCAAAATATCCACGTGTGTTTTCAGCACGCAGATGCTGGGCCCCAAGGTGTCTGCCAGCTGCACCAGCTCTCTGGCCTCTGAAACATCAGCAGACAGACACAGGTTGGTCTTCTTCTTCTGCATAAGCCTCAGCAGCTTTGATGCCACTGGGTGGATGCCCGGCAGCTCTGCCCGAGCAGCGAAGCTGAGCTCCTCTGGTGCTTTGCTCATACGGAGGAGAGAGCCATTCTGTTGAGTAGCTGTAAACACATTCTCCCGAATGAACTGCTTCACTCTCTTGACCACCTCGGGATTGATTTTTTGCTGCTGCTCGAGAATCTCCAGCATTTGGGACAATGTACACACCGCGTGGAGACGGATCCCATGGGCCTGTAGCTTGTCTCTGCCGCCCTGCTCCCGGTCCAGCAGCACTACAGCATCAGTGACCTTCAGACCCGCCTTCTGCAGAACTTCAACAGTGTCCAAAACACTACCTCCACTAGTGACCACATCTTCAATGACTAAACAGGTTTCTCCTGGATTAAGAGCTCCTTCTACAAGACATTTAGTACCTAAAAAAGAAAAAGGTTATTAAGTCCAACTTTAAACCAGGTGGGGTGGCGCATGCCTGCAATCCAGTATTCAGTAGGCTGAGGCAGGAGGATCAGTGTGACTTCAAGGCGAGCCTGGGCTACATAGTGAGACCATTTCAAAAAACCACCAAAACCCCCTCAACTTTAAATGCACTGAACTCAACATATACCTTACAGTATAAAGTTGGTATGTACTTAAGATGATCTATAAGTAAATCTTATTTTCTGATTTTCTTTGTTTTTCATGACTCTTGAAAGTGCCATGACTGTTCTGTTCAATGCCTCCATATCCCAAAGTTGCCAGTTATGTACAGAATATATTAAAACTAGCAAATTGTCTTACAGTATAAATTAGTACTTCTTAGAGTGTTTAGGATTAAATTTCCAAACACTGGGTTTCTTAAAGCAAAAATCACCTAGATTTAGTAGTTACAAAGTACAGAATAACCTGGGATCATTTATGAAATTACTCTTTTTTCCATCCACAAACTATTGTAAGTTCATTATATATTCAACTGAACAACTGATTTCCAAAAATATACGGTAATACCTCAGTTCATGAATGCTTCTGTTTGCAAACAATTTGGTTTGCAAAAAAAGTGGCAAAATTCTGCTCCCATTTGCAAACTCTGCATTGGGTGACAGACAAGAAAGACCACAGCCGTCTTCCCCACACAAACCCAAATGCAGCATGCTCCCCAAAATTGTAAACCAAACTAAGTTCATAAATGGAGGCACCACTGTAAATTTAAGCAAGGCAGAGTAGTGCATAGCTGTAACCCAGTACTTGGGAGGCGGAGACAGGAGGATTATCAGAAATTGCCGGCCAGCCTACAATAGTCAGTTCAAGCTGAGCCTGAATTATAAAGCGAAGCCCTGTCTCAGGAGCAAACTAAAGGACTTCAGGGAATGTTGAGCAACAACTCCGCCTCTGAGACTCAGAATCCAGAGACTGGAAAATAACATTGTGGGGTGGGGAACTGATCCACAGGAATCAGGAAGAATCCGACAGGAGAATTAAAACCTACAGAGGAATTGCAGAGGCAGACACAGCAGCAGGGCACGAAGGGACAATCTGCACTTTCTCCCCTTCCTCCACTTGTGGCTCTTGGGAAAGGGAGAACAAATCTACAGGTACCAAGCAAAAGCTGGTGGACTCCAGGGAGAAAGGCGGTGTTGGAATGAACAATCAAGTGCCTTGAGCTTCAGGGAGTCAGGGAGAGAGCAGGACTCTGCCCCCACGAGTCCTTACAGGCAACAGCCGGTGACTCCACTCCAAGTGCCTGCCACACCCCCTGGGAAGAGCTTGGCTGGGGGACCTTCTGGGGCGGGGCTGGCTGAGCCTGGGACCCAGCAGCTGAGGGACAGTGTCACAGCTCATTTCGTTGCCCCAGCAACCAGGTGAGAAAGAGCCACAGGAGACAGGCAGGCGGAAGTGAGGGTCAGGCTGGAAAGGCAGCCCTGCAGGGTTGGAGCTACAGGACACAGGCTCTGCTCTCCTGGCCAGAGGCCAGGCTCAGCCCGAGTTGCTCTGGATCTGGAAGTCCAGGCACTGCACCCTCACCCTCATCTGTCTGCTGGCTGGATCTGGCGTCTGACTGCCTTCTTTATCTGCAGGGTGAGCCAGGGACACATCCTGACTTGGACACTGCCCCCAAATTGCACACAACCCACCCAAAAACCACACATTCAAAACCAGGGAGGAATTTCTTTTTTGTGTGTTTCTGCTTTATGTTCTTTTTAGCTTTATGGTTTTTTTCCTTCCCCCTTTCTTCTTCACCAGTTTACTGGGGCTCAGGGAGTTTTCTTTTGTCCTTCCATACTTCTTACATCTTTATTTTTTTTTCTCTTTATTTTTTGCTTCTCCTTCCTTTTAATTTTTTTTACTCTTATTTTTACTCCCCAGGTAATTTCTTTTTTCTTCCTCTTTTTATTTTACCTTCTATTGCTCATCAGTTTTTTCCTTGTAACTTTAACTCTATAAATATCCTTCCCCAGTTTGGGCTACATAATGCATTTAAATGCTGCCTGAATACACAGCAAGACCCTGTGTTAAAAACAAATAAACAAAAACCATACACCTTCCCCAGCTACTCAAAGATATCTCAAAAGCAAAGAAAGACCATGAAAAGTGGGCAATAGCTTCAAGATGATGCAGCAAAGACAACAGTAATATCCCACAAGGAGTGTGATCATTATGTACCACAAACATGTACCACCAAACCAAACCAAACCAAACAAAAACCCCAACAACAACAAAAAAAGCAAGAACCCTGGAAGAAATTTCGAAAATATTACATCTATCTATCTATATTCATATATAAAGGAAATATTCTACAACCCGAACTATTACCACAATCATGAATTATATAACGCATTGTGACTACATTCTCTATCCTCAAACTCTACTAGAGAATATTGTCAGATAATGTATAAAATGTAAGTAACTCAGGCTACAAACTTGAAAAATAAAATTTGTTTCTGCATTTTCCACTACAATTTCTCTTACTTTGAAACAAAATGGATGGCATTTTGCCCACCTTTCCCATTTCTTTGAACTCCTTTGTTCCCCTTGAAGAATTTAACTGAATTGACTTAGATTAAAATGCAAGACTAACAAAATACAACACTGAGAGTGCCGCATAACTTTCATTCTATAAACAACACGTAAGGAAATGGAAATACTTTCCCTAGCAAAGTGCGGTGATGTACACATAGTCTTTATGGGCAAGAAAGGATTCATGTAATTTTTCTTTTGTAGCTCAGAAAATTTAACATTGTACCTTTAAGCAGCAATTTAAGCAGCAAAAACTCACCCGAACATTTTGTTTTCTTTTCTTTAGAACCGCAGTCTCAACCAAAAGTATACAGTGTGCTGAACACCCACAAATACAGAACCTCATCCCTTAACTCCGGATCAGTCTTGTTTCATCTACACCCTCATTCATCCCTCTCCTTTTATAAGCAAACCCCAAGCATCCTGTAATTTACCATAAAAACATTTTAGAGCATGTTTGTAAAAGTCTCTTTTAAAGTTATACCAGCATAAAAAACATTCCTTAATGTCATTCATAAATATGAAGTCCATTCCAGCATTTTTACGTTTTTAGATTAAGAAAACTCACCCAATAAGCTACTGTCACAGACTCATAAAAAGACCTTTATGAGGTGTTTAGGCACCTTCCTGAGAGTACTCTGATTCACACACTGCTCTCGGCAAAGTTTAAATGAACATACTGGGAAAGAATGTGTTCTCACGGCTTGTGCTCCTGAAGGGCCACTAAAAATGCCAGGGTTTCACAGATAGGATGCACAAAAAACCACTTCTTTACTTGCTTGCCTAATCGTATACAAAGCATTTTAGCCCCAGACCCCTAAAGAAAAATGATTTATGTGAACAACAAATCCCATAGGTGTTAACAATTTAAAGAACCTATGACATTTACTAATATGACTAGTAAAACATCAGTGCACAAAGAAAATACATAGATTACATATTAACAGAATGCTTATGCTACTCTTACCATAGTTCTTTGTTTCCTTCCTTCTCATAAGCATTGGGATTTGATGTGTTGAGCAGATAACGGTAGCCAATGGCAAAGCTGTGTAAGGTACTCCACATACAGTGTCAAAACTGATCCCTGCATTTTGGGCAGTTTGGAATAAAATATCTGCAACCTGTAAGAGAAGGAACACATAAACTACCTATTATCAACTGATGACTCCCTCCACCCCCGGTACTGGTGATTGAACTCAGGACTTGTGCCACTGAGTTAAATCCCCAGTCCCCCAACTGATGACTTCTTAAACTTACTTTTCACTAGTAAATCCTTAGTTCACTTTCTCTACATAAAGCAAATATACTATAGCAAGATTCTGGGTGGTAAGTTTCCAGTGCAGCCATCTCAACTAGCACTTTAATTCTGTTTACATGTGTCCATGGTTGGTGACCAACAGAAACCCTTAAGGGTGTGGAGGGAACTTACATATTTTTCCTCTTTTGTTTTTGGACGATTCCAGCCCCCCACCCTTTTTTGCGGTACCAGGGATTGAACTCACTACCTAGCGCTTACCAGGCAAGCACTTATGCCGCTGAGCTAAATCCCCAGCCTGTTTCCAGTCCTTTTTGAGACAAGGTTTTGCTAACTGTTCAGGCTGCCCTCAAACCTGTAGGTCACATGCTTCGGGCCTCCTGCTGTAGTTGAGACTCCAGGCATGCACCACCATGCCCGGCCAACATTTACTTCTTCCATAAAACTTTCTGTCCATCTGGGATAATTCTTTCCAAACTACCTGTTCATCTAAGATATGAAAATGTTTTACATTTATAGTGTCCAATATGGTAGCCACTAATGACTTTGAATTTAAGAATTCATAATGTTGTCTGTAATTCAGCACTCTGAGGTAAAAGGATCACAAATTCCGGTCCAACCCGAGCAATTTAGGTAGATCCTGCCAAAACAAAAAGCTATGTGTGTGTATGTGGAGGGGGTGTAGCCCAATGAAAAGGCTCTGGGTTCAGTCCCCAAAACCCCTCAAAACCCAAGAAACCATAATGTTTAATATTCACACGTTGCTAAGAGCTACTCTTCTGAACAGCACTTTTTTTTTTTTTTTTTTTGGTCTTTTTGAGACAAGGTCTCGCAATGCAGTTCAGGCTGGCCGTGAGCTCACTTTTGTAGCCCAGGCTGGTCTCGAACCTGATCCTCCTGCCTCAGCCTCCCGAGTGCTGGGGTTACAGGCATGAGCCACCACGCCCGACTCTGAACGGCACATTTAAACCTACTCAAAGACTGGTTTGCAGTTTTGGCTTGCAGCTTGTTAGAAATGCCCAATCTCTTGGTAGGCATGGTGGCGCAAGCCTGTAATCCCAGCCCTTAGGCTGAGTCAGGACGATCGCTGCGGTTAAGTCAGGATGGGCTGCAGTGAGTTAAAGTCTAGCTTGCACTACTGTGGGACCCTGTCTCAACAAACAAACAAACATAATTACACAGAGTTCTTTACCTAAACTGGTCTCCCAACTCCTGCAAAGCACGTGGTCACCATCCCCCAAAACCCAACAATCTCTGCCCTCTGCTTCTCAAGCCTACTCCCCAAACCAACATTAGGATGGTTTGGCCGCACGCTTTTTCTGCCTTCGCCCGCAACCCAACGCCTGCTACCTCCCCTCCATCTGCGGGTCCCTTTCCCGCCACCCCCGGCTGTCCTTCCCCTTCGCGAAGGGACCTGACTCAGAAGACGCGGTCGAGATATGACGCCCCGCAGATCGATGTAGACAGGGGAGGTGAGCCCGCTCTTCAGCACGAAGTCCCCAAACTTCAAAGCCTGCACGTCGTAGAGGGATGCCACCAACGGTCCCAAAGTAGCGCCCGCGGCCGCCATGCCCGAGTGCTCGCAGCCAGGCAGCAGCGTGTCCGCCGGCGGTCTCGTGACGTCACCTGGAAGCCCCGCCCTTTCCGCCACCCTTTCCGGCCCGGGCCGAGTGGAGTCGGCAGCCCTGCGCCTGCGCCTGCGCAGCTCTCCGCGGGGCGCTCCTGCGGCCGAAAGCTGGGCGGCCCAGCCCGGCTCTGGGTGCAGGCTGGGGTCCGTCGGGGGAGTTTGCGTACACTCTACCCAGTTTTTCTTCCGCATTGGCCCCCTCGGTAATTCTGTGTTTTGTAACTACGCCTTGGTCTCTCGTCCCAGTGGCTCGCCACTATTCCCTGCTGCTTCTCCAAGCAGAGAAGTTGTTCCAGACCGGCCCCCGTCCGGTGTTAACTCCCAGCAGCTGGCCGTGAGATACTTGATCGTGGTTTGCACGCAGGAACTTAGAGCCCGAGCAGTTAGCTACCCCGGCCGCGCGGGTGCAGGTGGAGAGACGGCGGCGAGTCCGGGCTGCAGGTGTCCGGGTCATCTGCGAGGGCAGTGCTGCCAGCCGGCCCGAAGACGCAGCCCGTCTGCTTTATAAATAATCCTGAAGGGAAGTTCTCCATTAGGCGCAGAAGAAGGTACCTTTCCTAGTTTAAGGAAAACAATCCATTAAAGCCATAAGGCCCACGATCCTAATTCATCAAACTGATTCCAGTTTTATTCTTATATGTGTTTTCTCTAAGGAGATTTTGCTGAACAGCCATTGTGAAAAGCCTGTGCTTTTTTTTTTTTTTTTATTATTATGTACTAGAGATTGAACCCAGGACTGTGAATCGCACAGCTGGGTAACTGGTCTCCCAGCTCAAATCCAGGCTTCTGATATTTCTGATTACAAATAAATGCCATAGTCCAGCGGCGTGTAATCCCTGCCCTGATGGAAGCCTAGGCAAGAGGCTTGCCAAGAGTTCAAGGCCAGCTTGGATTACATAGGAAACCCAGCCTGAATTGCACAGCAAGAGCCCGTCTTCAAGACAAAGCAAAACAAAACAAAAACAGTAGTGAAAATGTTACCGGACTGAGTCTTCAAGGTTCCCAAAACTTGGATGAGGACTTAACCCACCCTAAGGATAGACTGGAGATTCGCGAACTCTTTAAGTGAAATAATAATTTTTAGGATGTGTCAGAGGGAAGGGAAGGATCTACTTGGTAGAGCTTTTAGACTCTGAAGAGTGAAGTGCAGAACGCTCAGAAAAATGGGACACCTGAGTCCTTGGAAACGATCTCAAGATGGACAGTGCAGGCTGTGCGCCCCCGCTGTGTCACCTTACCTATCTGCCAGGCAATGTCAGGGTGTAAACCACTTAATATGTGTGAAGTTGAGATCTGCTGCCAGCTAATATTGTTGCTTCCTTGAGGGTGGAGGAAGCCCAGTTTACAGGTGAGAAGGACAGGTCCAGAGCCCGCGTGGACAGGCTTACTGTGTCTTTAAGACCTTCAGGAATTTTTTTTTTAAAGTAAGTTTCCTGGAAGGGAAAAGGGCTTAAGTAACTTTCATTCCTGGAGATTCATATGTTTGTTTAAAGTATAATTTTTAAAACACCAACTTCCTTAGCTGCTTTCTCCCTAGTTTTAAAAAATTTCTTTTATCTTACTTCAAAACCTTCATGAAATAGGCAAGTGCTAAAATAGTTTTGCTTCTTTTGGAAAAGTAAACTTGTAAAACATTTTAGCCATGCGTTGGTGTTGCGCTCCTGTAAGCCCAGCACTGAGTGTAGCTGAGGCAGGAGGATTGCCAGTAGCTTGACGTCGGCCTGGATTATACAGTGATTTCAAGGCCAGCTTGAAATACACAGTAAGACCGCGTCTCCAAAATAAAACAAGCTTCACTCTCTGACACTGGCTAGATGGCTTCATTTGTGCTTGTAGCATATACATGGCATGTTTTCATAGGCTACTCCAGAGTCCACAGCAGGACTCGGAGCTTCCTCAGGTAGCAAAATGCCTTAGACGGTTTCTTTTTTTTTTAATTTTAAAGAGGGTAAGACTAAACATAACAAAACATAGAGCACAAAATTGTTTTCATTCTAAAAAGCTGAGTGAAGGTGTTATAATAATAATGTGACCTTTTTAGCTTGTCAAAGGCTTTCACATATGTGGGGGAAGAAAAAAAATTACTCTTTTCTTTGAGCAAAGGATTTAATTAGAAAAAAAGACAACCAGAAATAATATATTTAGTATAGTATATTTTTAGGAATGCATAACATATGAGATGTACATTTTGAAGTTTCATTCATAACATTTACTGTAGTAATAACAAGACAGCAGATTATCACTTTACAACATTACACATGAATGGTTTTGACTTACAAATAAAATATTTACAACCTACCTTTACAAAATGACACTGTGTGCATACAAAATGAAAAACCGCAGAAAAATTTAAAAATAATAAAACAACCCAAAACTCAGAAGATACACTTAAGGCAGACCAGCAAGACACTGAAATAATTAAGGCTGTGGAATTCTTCTGCACCTTGAAAATATAGAGCTATTTGTCAATACTGTGGAGTGTCTTTAAATCAAGTGTTACAAGCCTGATGGAAGTACATACTTATATGTATATGTGTAATGGTCCCTATGGGGAAACCTGTCCACTATGAATAAGGCCCTTTAGCTGAATGGTCAGAGAAGCCCACCATAAATTCTCAAAAGACTTGGGAGGGGTCACTCAAAACCAAGAGGTGCCAATCAATGTAGGTTGCAAACCAGCTATGAATAATTCAAATGTAAAGTGACCTCTCAATCCAGGTAAACAGAATAGCCTAAATGATGGTCCTGCTGTTTGACACTTTGTTAGTTGGCTCCATGGACTTCAAAGGACAGCAAATTCTACTGAGCAGGATTTGTCTTCTCACGTTAGCCCTAGTAGTTTTGAATGGCCCTGAAAGATTTTCCAATTAAAAAAAAAACAAAACCTGTCCTACCTGGGCTGTCTGCAAATGGATAGATTTCTGCATATGAGCAATAACATATACATACATATTATACACTATGTACATGTACAGATGTACACATAACAGTATTTTCCAACACTTGCACTTGGATCACTGCTGCTCTCTGAATAGGATTTCGTTGTCAAGAGTATATGTAGCTTTGTCACAGTCTTCATGTCTGTCCTACCACTAGTGTTACTCAACTTCCCCACAGAGTAGGCTGAAGTTTTGGCAGAAACAGAAGTAAAAGCACCAGGGTTAAAAAAAAAAAAAAAAAAAAAAAACCCAAACTTTAAAATGACAGATATGGCTTATGTCAGTAAGAGAAAATGTATATTTTGTGAACTTCAAATTCATAACCACATCTATGGGTCATGGTAACAGTCTCCATAGTACCCCTTGATGGGAGTCAGTCCATTTCTATGCTGCTATCCCTGGGCTGGCAAAGTTTGCATTCCAAAAACTGGTATTTGCACTTTTTTATCTCTCCCTTTTCTCACTTAACCTCACTTTCTGAAATAAGTTATCTGACTAAACCATTATTTTGATCATTTGGATAAAAAGTATATCTGACTACATTTTAGAATTTCTGCACAAACACACCAGAGGCAAATCACAATAGCCTGTGAGTATTAAATTTAGGCTTTCCATAAATGTCCTTTAAAAATGAAAGATTAACTTGTTTTTTTCTTCTCCTCTAACTTCTCTATTTAATAAATATATTGAAAATAAGGAAGATAGCCCATTCATAAAAATATGGCCCTGTGGTACTTCTGTATAGATTTTTTTTTCATGTGAACATTTGTTATTAAAAACATCTAGTGCTATGGACATATTTCAGCCCTTTTAACCCTCTAGAATTAGTGAAACAACTGAGGGCTTTATTGTTTTCAGAAAATAAATATTACCGTAGTTTCCTTTTTCCCCCAATGCAGCATGTTCTGTCTTCCCTAAGCCTACCAGTCAAATCATTCATTCCCAAGAGGTTTCTAGATTTTAAGTAGTAAGGAAAGATCGGGATGCAGTTTTATAAGTAAATCCACAAGAAGGTCACATTCTGTGTTTTCCTGACCCAGGGATGTCAGCCGGAAGAAAAAGGATTACGGTCTACATTCCTCAAAACCCATCTAGTACACCTCGCAGGATTCATTGGCTATCCTGAGTAAGGTGAGTCTGCATTCTTGCCTTCCTATGAAGACCCTTTATGTTCAAAATATTTCCTCTTCTATCAAATGCATAAGAGAAAGTCTTGTGGTATAACTTTTTTATTATTTGGAAATCAAATTCACGACCTTGTGCTTGCCAGGCAGGCACTTAGGCCACTGAGCTATATCCCTAGCCAAGAGAGAAAGTTTTAGTCGATCCACCATTTTATATCACATTCCCTCCCTCCTATTCTCACAAGTCTAAAGTTCCATGCTATTCCACATAGGCAAGAAAAAAAGACAATGACTGACTCACAGGCTGTGTCAAATCACGGAGGCGATGGGACAACAAATACGCTATTTTTGAAAGGCCTATCTAAAAAAAAAAAATGGATCCAAGTGTTCCCACCAAAAGCCAACAGCCAAAGCCACTTCCATCCCTGTGCATCCATCTTGCCTCTTCTAATAGATTCTTGTGAGACTGCTATCTCAGTGAGGAAATTGGCTGCTTGGGTTCTTCTCGGTCCATTTTTCCAGAGCATAAAGCTTGAGACACAAAGGTAAGTGTTGCTTTGGAGGGTTTCTTAGTCTTCACATCTCCCGTAAGAAACAGTGGAGACGTGCGGCTCCATCAGCTCTCCTAACTTTTGTCTGTAGACTAGCCGAGCTTTTAAATGACCGAAATTATATGGTAAGGCCAAATAACATTCAGACAAAGAGCATATACTACCTCTAATTAGGAGCAGTGTATAGGATTTAACTTCATTAGTTTGTAAATGGTATCTAAAGGCATGAATATTGAAAACCTGGAATGTTGAAAGTTACTATCAATAAAATTCTTAGCACTGGCAGTGTGTAGCACGCTTAAAAAATCAAAGTATTTTATAGATGTCTCAACGGTAGTATTTTCTCAGCATCCCTATGGGATTCCTGTCTTCCCCCCACCCCACCCCTTTAACAGTGGGGATGTTTGCAGCAGGAAACAAAAAGTTTGTCTAAGAAAGTATGAATCTGGAATAGTGAGGCTGCAACTCAAGAATTCTGGTCCCATCCTATACTCAGATGTTTTCATTTAAAAGATACTTTAAAATAAAGAAAAATCCTGCAATCTCAGTCAGCCTAAATGCAGCGAACCTCTCCATTTCCCATCCTCCCCTCCAAAGGCACTATTTATATAAAGTCTTCGTGAACCACAGAGCAGTGAAGCCAGCTTTCTCTTCTGTCTCTGTCACCCCGCTTTAGATTGCTTATGGCCAGGAGCAGCCTGATGGACCACTCCAGTGTTATAACTACTTCTTAAAAAATTGTTTGTAGAAGATATAAATTTACTTTTTCATTTGAAACAAATATAAAAGATGCCAGAAAATCATTACACATCTTATGAGTGAGTGCGGGTTGTTCCTGATCTTTCCCTTCTCTTTGCACCTCATCTTTATGATGCAAAAACAAAAAAGAACTGAACTGTATGCAGTGAATGTAAGCCAAGCAAGAACCCTGCGATTGTAACCCACTGAGCCGAGATGTGAGCCTTGCTAGGAACTACCATAACTGTAGCAGACGTGGACTGTGTCCTCTCCTCTCTTTTTTATGACCAAATAATCTGTGCGAAAGCAAGTACAGGAGCATGGGCCCTGATCCTGACCCTGCCACACTAGCTCTCAGATCCATCTAAACTACATTTCCCAGGCCCACCTTCTGGGATTTCTTATTATTTCCAGTTTTGGAGAATCTTTGAACCAAGACCATTATCTTATCCCTGTTGGGAGGGACCAGGTGCTGTGCTTCTAAGGGGCCTCCCTGTGTGTTCTCCTCCATTATCAAACTCTATAAAATACACCCCCTTTTTCCTTAGGACCTCTATTCAGTTCCCTCTACTCTACTGATTGGACTTTGGCTCCAGATAACAAAATCACATTTCTTTTCATTTCGAGGTCCCTCCTTTCCTGTCTTCCCCAACACAGGTACTTGGGGAGCCTTCTGCGCAGCCTCCCTGTCAGGCCCATCTTGGCTTTGATAGAAAAGCTAATACGAAAGCTGTGGCTCCATCTAATGTTGTGTCGCTCTCCTGCCCCGTGACATTATTTCAATACGGCCCTTCAACCACGGTCCTAGACACTGTCCTCCGCAGCTTGTCATAGCAATTCTGAGTGGCCCGGAAAGAAGCTGTTTATCCCGGTCAGCCACGGAGGTCAGAAGAGAGGTTACCAAGCCACTGTTGAGAGGTGTGAGGAATGCTGGAGCCTATGATCTATTCCAGAACAAGCCCTACAGGTGGAGCGTTCCTCTCTCGTGCTTTATATCATAATGAAGACATGTTAGGTTAAAGGGCTTTCCATAGACATTGTTGAAATTTTAAAATATTCTACCATATAGTATTATAGTTGTATGCAGATCACAGTTTAGATGAAGACAGCAGAGGACAAGAGAGGTCTGGGGAGGCTTCAGGACCCAGGTCTACTCAAAAACAGGAAACAGTGTGGTCGGAGTTGGTTTCCATATATTTGGTTAATTCCCAAAATACTAAGTGCTATCTAGGCTTATTGCTTGTACTTTCTACTACTTATTAATCTGTAATCTTGAATGGGATCAAGTGGGAGGTGGATGAATAAGCTGACTTTGAAACCAATGGAAAAATATTACGAATACTTTTAATTCTATATTTCCACTGTGAGTATTTTTATATATTAAAGGTCAGGCTTAGTTTCCACCATTCCTTTTTTATTTAAATATGTTTGTAGTTCTTATTATCATTCATGAATTTTCCGCTTGCACTTCTGTGCTGCATGAGTTCAATCCTCTCCATCCCATGAATAGGAGAGAAATAATGCTTGATTTAAACATACACTTGAGTTACATTTTTAAAACATTATTTGCTTAACAGCAATTTTCAAAACACAGTCTAGAAAACAAAGGGTGGGTCGTATACAAACATAAAACCCAACAACTTTTTCCTCTACCCCACCCTTGAAATAAACCAAAGCAAAAAACAGAAAAACCATGAATTGCCCAGGGTTAGTGGCTTTCCCATCAGAGGGAAAAAAGGGCAGTTAATAATCCTGTATGGAGAATAGGTGTCAGAAAGCAGCATTGGCCTCCAAATGCAGTTAGTCCTTTTATCCAGAGAAATATCAGTGGCTGAGCGGTGATAGATATTGCGACCTCAGTTAAAACTCAGTGGTCTGTTAGGGTGATGTATCAGGTTTGCTCCATGGCTTCAAAAAGGACTTAGGACCAGGCGTTTAAAAGGCTTATATGGCTGCCTCCTTTTGGTAAGACCCCTTAGTGTCACCTGGGGTTAGAAATAAAGCAAGCCAACTTTCTGTAGAGTCAGAAAGTGTTGGTACACTGTTCATAGGAACTGTAGGGAAGGTTTCTATGTGCCCTTTTGTACGAACCTGTGTAGTCACTTCACCTATTTCAAGCCAGGTATAGACATAAAAATAACCCTACAGCTCTTCCTGGCTTTGGACTTACTTCCAGGCAGACTTTCCTGCCAGAGGAACTGTGAACCGCCAGTGATTCGGAGTATTGTTTCATATACAGTACTTCTCTTAATCAAATAACCCATGACTGAGAGGGAAAAAAATCTTCTCATTCACAGATCGCAAAAGGGTAACATTGCTTTCTCTTAATGCACAGAATTTGGTAAAAGATTTCTATACAAGATTTATAAAATGTTCTAAAAAACTCGTCATCTAATTGTGCTTAGTCAAAACAATGTAATGCTTCGGTAAGTAAGTAAAGTACTGTCTTAACTGGAGCACTCAGATTTACTTAGGATCGATTTCATATATAACTCTATATTATAAAACTCTGAAACCTGAATGGGGTCTATTACACTGTATGTGTACATGTAACCTATTAAGAAACTATATCTAAGTCATCTAAGTCAGAATAGTTGACATATATGTTCTCTCTATTAAATAGAACTTTTTGCTTCCAAGTCAGCAAAGTCAGGAGCCTTTCACACTCATCGCAGTGAGTTTAAGGCTTGCCCACTCAACCACTCAATTTGGAATGTACAACTAAAAATTTTATAACAGCTAACATCCGTGTTATCCTTGGTCTTTCTTGTAATGCTTTCTGTGACTCTGCATCTGTATTTCTTCAGAATTGCCTTCTGGAAAGCCCCTGGGCTTCGGGTGACTTTGACTGCTGCTCAGACCCTGAATCACCACCGACAAGGTTTACGGGGACATCGCTCACGCCAGAGAGCCACGTGGGGGGAAGTGATAAACAGTTATTTACAGACACGGTCAGTCTTGCTTTGGTTCGCACCGCATGTCTATGTGAAACCTAAGGGCTGGGAGATGGCTATGTCCCTTGGTTCACCCGGGTGACGATGTAGCTCTTGACGTTGGGAATAGGGCGCACGTCGTTCTGGTGCTTGCGGCGCTCTATGAAGCAAGCCAGGCGGGAGGTGTCCAGGGGGATCTTGGAGTAGCTGTCACTGTGGGGCTGCAGCCACGGGTGCTGCAGGCAAGTGGCTGCTGTGGGCCGCCTGCGGAAGTCTTCCTGTAAGATCACATTGATGAAATCCCTGGCGGCGTTGCTCACACCACAGAAGTATTCGTGGGGGAAGCTGAAATCCACCCTGCATACGTTGATGCACGTCTCCTCTTTGCTCTCATCCAGGAAGGGTGAGACCCCACTAAGCATGACGTACGTCAGAACCCCGATGCTCCAGATGTCTGTGCCAAGGGAGACGGGGATGCCTTGGATCACTTCGGGGGCGGCAAACTCGGGGTTCCCCAGCAGGTGGTGGATGTGGAAGTGGCCTGAGATCTGGACAGCATCTTCCAAGTCAATGAGCTTCACTCGAGGCACTGGGATCCGAAGGTCGATGAGTAGGTTTTCAGGCTGCGGGGAGGCAGGGAAAAGAGAAGCAGGTTCCAGTGAGGCTCTTAATGAAAACACACTTCTGCTGTTCTGTCATGAAGTCCTCAGCCACTGGAGATGCCCTGGGCCAAGGCACAGATGACTGCGCCCAGGGGGTGTGAACTCACTAAACTCTGAGTGTGGTTGCACTTTGAAGAAGTTGTTGGCCATTGACAATTTTGGAAGGAGGGTTTTTTGTTTTAGTTTTGGTGCTGGGGATTGAACCCAAGGCCACATGCATGCTAAACACTGAGCTACACACCTCAGCCCCAAATCCTGTCTTCTTAACTACCCTTGCTACAGAGGACTCTTTTTGAGCAGCATGAGGGGACATTTACTGATTTCCCTCTGTAAAATCAGAACAGGTTGTTAAAGCTCTCTAACCGTCTCTTGCCCTGATCTCATGGCCTCTGGCGTGTTCTCATTCCTTTATTAACAGTGCATTTAAATTTTGTCACAATTTAGCTTCTGTTTATATGGATTCTAATCTAAGTAAGTAGACTGAAGTTCATATTTCTTAGGGTAAGGACTGGAAGGTGGGACCAGGCTTTCTGCTGCCAGGGCACCTTTTTCTCACTACCTTTATGTCCAAATGTGCCACCCTGCAGTTGTGAAGGTACTGCAGAGCCTCCATGATGTCTCGGATGTAGAAAGCCACTTTCTCCTCCATCAGCTCGTCATGATTCATAAGATAGTCTAAGAGCCGGCCGTCATCCATCCTGAAAGGAGAGAGGGAAAGGAGAGGGAGGCATTGTGAAGAATCAGAAAGGTGATGCACGTGGAAGCTTTCGAGTCTCTCTTGCAGGTGAAGATCAAAACTACAATCCATGCATGCGTTAGAACCCAACGACAGTGCAATGTTCGGGACTAAAATAAAGTTACGAATGTGGAGAAGGAAAGAAAAGCCTTGTGTGAGAAGGATTTTAAAATGCATTCCAAACCCGTGGAATGTATTGACGCAAAGCACAAACCCCGATGTAAACTGGGGACGGGGTTGTCACGTGTGCACTACTCTGAAGGGGCCACATTCACAGGGGTGGGTGGCACATGGAAGATCTATGTACTTTTCTCTAAAGTTTACGTACACCTGCTCTGAAATTTTATTTAAAAGTGCTCTAAAATATGAATTAATTTTTAAAAATTGTTTATAAGGAAAAAGTTCTGATACCCCTTTATAGAGGGTTAGTTTGCATTTCTTGGGGGTAAGGACTGAAAGATTGCAAAATAAAGATACCCTTTAACCAGAGCCTAGTGCCAATAAGCCTATATCTATCTATCTACATCTATATCTGTATCTATGTGTCTGTCTGTCTGTCTGTCTGTCTATCTATTTGCCTCCTGCATACTATTCTGGGGCTCACCACCAACCTACATCTCTAGCTCTTACAAACAAAACAAAATAAAAAACAAACAAACCAGGAAAAGTTACAGTTTAGAAAGTAAGAGAAAATGGTAAGGAACTCCTTAACAAAGGAGAGTAAGAAAAATAGGAAAGGGCCCCAGAGAGGGCAGGGGCTTGCTTGGAGGGAGGCCAGCCTGCCCACAAAGGCTTTCTCTGGGCTGGGTCTAGCTGATCATTATCTCAGTCCTGGTTTCACAGCGGGGGACTCTCATGGCTGAGGGCAGAGTCCATGCCCAATGAAGGCCGGTCTGTGCATGGAGGTCCAGTCACGTGGGGCTTGGCTTTTGCTGGACTCCAGGCGATCACAGGTTTAGGACGATGGCTGGGGCCTTCTGGGTGTAGCTGCATGTCCTAACCCATCCCACACCTTGGTGTGCTCAGTCTTGAAGGGGAATGTGATTGTGTGAACTTGGGGCCAACAGATCCAGTTGCACCAGCTTTTAGGCAGATGCCCCCGAAGTGACTAATATATCTGCGTGCAGACCTAAGAAGGGATTTGACCCAAAATGTTACAGTAACCAAGGACACAAAATGAAGGTCAAGCTTTCTTCTATTTTTAGTTGCCTATTGGGTACTTTTAGAGCCAAGTGAGAGTTGTGATTTTGAGCCTTTTACTGTCTCAGAAGAAAACACAAATGGTGCCTTTAATGAGCTGAGCAGGCTGAGAGCCCAGGACTCTCTCAACCCTGTAGTGGGCTTCAACATTTTCATGATTGTCATTCCTCCACAAGGCACTTTATCCTCTTTTTTTTTTTTTTTTTTTTTTTTTGGTCTTTTTACTATGCAGTTTGGTCTGGACTTGCATTCACTCTGTAGGTTGGGCTGGTCTTGAACTTACAACGATCCTCCTGCCTAAGCCTCCCGAATGCCAGGATTACAGACGTGCACCACCACGCCTGGTTTTCCTCCTTCATCTCAAAGAGGAATAGCACAAAACTCTTTCCTCCTCTTCCCTGCCTTTTTTTGCTGCTAGGAATTTTACTCACAACCTCATACTTGCCAGGCAATACTGTGCTGCTGAGCTATATCCCTGGCCCTCTGCTTTATTTTTAATGTTGCTATTTTACTTTCTGGTTGTGCTTTCCTTTTGGATGTTTTAGAGAAGTAGGCAATTGAAATTAGCCTCTTTATTGTTCAGTTCAGTCAAGGCTCCCAGGAGTCCCTTCTGGGACCTGTGACAGCCTTTTGGCTCCCTCAGTTGGATTTTTTGCCTACCAGCTGTGCCATCTACCAGGATGGGTCATGGTCTTACTTGCTCACATGGCTTCCTTTGGAAGCCTGGAGACAGCCCCATCTATAGCGACCCCACTTTTTGTGGGGTGCATGATGTTGGCTTCTCTCCTCTGGGGTCCAACAAGCCCCCTGCTCGGGAGGTTGGGAGGCTCACTGGAATTGCAGGGCCCTTTTATGACAGGCTCCTGTCATACCCTAGATCCTGGCTAACCTTAGAGGGCAAGAGCCAAAATATCAGCTGTCCTCGTCACCCTTGTATCTCTTGGAGCTTTGGGCTTTAGGTCTTGGTTGATCACCCAGAAGGTTAGTTACACCATCTACTTTTTTTTTTTTTTTTTTTTTTTTTTGTCTTTTTGAGACAGAGTCTCGCTATGAGTTCAGGCTGGCCTTGGACTCCCTTTGTAGCCCAAGCTGGTCTTGAACTTGACACAATCTGCCTGCCTTGGCCTCCCAATTGCTGAGATTCCAGGAGTGCTCCACCATACCCAGCTTAGTTCTATTATTTTGAAGTGAGAGCAGGAGGTTTCAATTCTATTTTAATTTCCTCTGGATCCTGGGAGTCAGTGTCACATCCCATCTATCTTACAGAGCATGGCCAATCATCTTAAAACACTATTCAGGTTGTCTGTTAAAGGGACAACCTATATTCCTATAGCATACTAGCAAACAGAATCTTGTAAAGAAAATATAAAACTAGCAGAACTATAATCATGTTTAGCACAATCTAAGTTTTGCTAAAGAGTTGTAGCTATGAGTATTTGCTCTACTCCTCTTAAGTACTAGTAAATACTTAAGGAGTATTTTAAAAAATTAACACAAGGTCTTGCTATATCATCCAGGCTGGCCTTAAACTTGAAATGATCCTCCTGTTTCAGCTTCCCAAGTGCTGGGATTAAAAACATGCGCACCATGCCCAGCCATTTTAAAAATTTACTTTTAAAACAGACTTTACACAAGTTCTGAATTTGGACAAATTATTCTTTTTTTCTTAATAATGTAAAAAATATATTCCTTTAAAATAGAAATATAACTTAACTTTCCCTTTTCTAGAGAGTTATATGTGAGAATGTTAATTTTTGGTAACTTGACATTTAGTGATGAACCAAGAAGAAAGCAATCCAAACACGTTTTTAAAACATCAAGTATGATACATTTCAAATACCAAAACCAGGTCATTTTGTTTTGTTCCGTTTTTTCAGATGAAGAGGGTCTCACAATGTTGCCCGGATTGGCTTTGAACTTGTGAGTTTAAGTGATTCCCTTCATCTCAGGCTTCCAATTAGATACAGGCCCCAGTCCTGGCTCCACAAAACACTTTTATTTGTCACTTTTTGGTTAAGGAAAATATGAAGTAAGCCAAGTTTCTCCTTGACTTTATTTATTCCTTTTTGAATCTTTTGTCTTTTTGGCAACTTCTCAACTTTAAAGATTGAGAACATACTATGTGGAGCTAACCCTGCCTGGGTTTGGATCCTGGTTCTGCTACCAGCTGTCTGGAGGCTGGGGTGAGTCACATAAGTTCTTTGTGCTCTGACTCCCCTGCAGTGTGCTTTAAAGTAGGAATAATCATAACCATGGCAAAACAATAGTATCTACTTTATTATGAGGATTGTGCAAGTGTCAGGGGAGACATTTAGGTACTTAAGCGTAATTGGTAGTATTGGTAAATGCTTAATAAGTGGAAGCTATCTTCTGACACTCTGTCCTCCTTCTATAACAAGAAGTAACAATCTTTCATGAGCACCGCACTGCTAAAGGGACTGTCTTGGTTACTTTTCTCTCATTGCTGGGACAAAATACCTGGTGCCCAAAATTAAAGAAGGGTTTATTTAGCTCACAGGTTTATTTAGATGGCTGTAAGGCAGAATGGCATGGCAGAGCAGAATACTTCACAGTGACGGAAGACAGCAAAAGCAACAAGAGCAAAAAGGTAGGAGTGTGAGAAAAGACTCTTTCTGTCCCTTATATTGTATGCAGGCTCCCTGTCCCAGGGCGGGTATGGCACTCATTCCTATAATCCCAGCAATGGACCATGAATCAATCACAAACTCTAGATTTAGCCACTTCTGAAAAGCACACCACCATGACTGCATGAGGCTTCTGGGGAACATCCAGACACAAACCGCAACGTTCTGCCACTGGTCCCCCAAAGATTCATGCACATCCCTGTATGCAACAATATTTTAGTCCATCTCTAAGAGTTGCCAAAGTCCTAACAGTTTCAGCATTGCTGAAGAGCCCAAGTTCCAAGTGTTCTCTGAGATCTAAGGTAAACTCTTAGCTGTGAGTGCCTGTACAAATGAAAAGAAAGTTAAACACTTTCAACAAACAATGGCACAAGATAAACATTCCCATTCTAAAAGGTAAAAATGGGATACAAAGGACTGGGACCATATCAAGTCCAAAATTCAGCAGAGCAAATATTAAGTGCTGTAGTTTTATGTGCAGCATCTGAAGTAACCTTAGAGCCAGCTAAATAAACCTATGGCAAGTTGTAGACTCCAAAATATTTGCATGACTCCACCCCTATAGCACTTGTGGTGGTTGTAGCTCCCACGGCTTCTCTCTTAAAGCTGCTCTGCTTCCTCCTTGCAGGTTTCCTCAGACGATCCATTTTCCTGGCTTTTTCATACTTCTGGGGTCTCCACTGCACCTCTGGCTTCACACTCACAGCTTCACATACTGCCCTCTCTGAATCACTGCCTGGCCTCCCAGCCTTCTGAAGTTGAAGTGGAGGACTTAACTTCACAACTCTTGCATTCTGTATGTGCCTAAAACCAGCGCCACGTGAATGATGCTGATGTCTGCTGCCAGTTGGAGCAGTAGCCAGGCTTTCTTCTCTCATGGTTTTAGGGGTCAAGTGCTTGGATCGCTAAGTACTCTAAAGCTGACTCTGAGGAATGAATTCTCGATGCTGCTGCCATCCATGGTATGGCCACCACCATTCTGCAAACTGGCATGTTGGAACGTGGCATGTTGTGGCTTTCTTCTCAAAGGAAAGAATTTTACCTTTTGCAGTCTTGAGGCTGCAAATGGTGGAGACTTGCTGCTTCTCATTATGCCCTGAGGTCATCTTTTGTCTTTTCCTATTCTCATCAAGCTCTCCTCAGTTCTATCTTTGCCTCCTTAGTGCATAGTCTTCCTGAAGCTTCCATTCTGGCCAAACTCACAACATTAAAATCATTATGATGCTATGCTCTTGATCCTCAACATAAATCTGGCTAAAAGCCCCCAACAAAACCATGTCACCACCTAAACACCTTGACATTTCTTCTGCCAGATTAATTAGTCCATCACCCTTAATCTTAGTCTCAGGCAAAATTTCTGGAAACATCAAAATACAGACAAACTTTCCGCCAAGCTATAACATACATCATTTGGAGTCTAACAACCAGTGTGGTTCTTCTTTACAGAAGAACCTCCTGAGGCTGGTCTTTACTAGCAGGATTTCTATCAGCTTATTGGTCTTCTGAGCTCTGACCAGAAACTCTCATACAGAACAGCCTAAGGCATTCCAGTGCTGCTTTTCAGGAAACATCTCCAAACCTTTCCAGACTCTTCCCACAAGCCATTCTCAAAGGTTCTTGAACCACATGGTTAGGTATAGTCAC